TTGAGTTCCCATTGTCCTTTTCTCATTAATAAATGTAAAAAGTGCTGATGTAGAAACATTCAGATTTATAAGAGAACTAACAAGTTCTCTGAATATAWGCACATCCGTTGTTCAGCGCAAGAAAGGATACCCAAAGCTCCGGCTCGGGAAGTATCAGAGGACCAAAGAGTAATCGACTACATTTTGAAGAGATTAGGTGGATAAAGATTTGTTTAGTTCGGCCAAAATTATGTATGTATGTAGCTATACGATGAGCCAAAAAAGTGGATGTCATAAGGACCACCCTTTASATAAAACTACATATGAAATAAATACCAGCAAGTTTTATGTAGAAATGTAAGATTGCGAAAGATTTATATTTAACAACARTGGTAGCGGCGCGCCAACGGATACGGATATTTTACGGCAATAATTTATGTGTTGCACACAGCGGTAGTCAGCAGCGTCTGTCACGTATGGATAACGCGCAACATTGGAGCAGCCTGCTGAAGGCGCTGATAGTGTGGCAGCAGGAAGAGGTTTATTGTTTTTGTGTCCCCTCTTCGTCGGTGTCTCACTTTCCCGCTACACTTTGTTGTTGTTTTACGAAATCCACAACTTTGAAAGCAAATGAATGGCCGACATAATTGATAAAGTCGCGAGGATGCCATGCGGCGTGTGCCGCAGCGGTCAGACGCGTCGTCCGCACACTTTTTAACGCATTAAACTCGTAGTAAAAAGTCAATTGGCGGCAGCTGCGTGTCGCACAGTCGGTGCAAGCGGCAAATTGCAAATTTTGGAAAGTCTCTGCCWGTACTGTTGTAATCAAAAATACATATGTACAGCAACAATGGCGATACTTGATTTTATAGCAGTGCAAGTTTTAATTTCTRTTTTTATAGCCACTTCAATCAATGTAACAAATTGTAGCAAGTTTTATTGCGCGCCTTTCGTTACTTTTTAATCAACTGTTTGTGTAATTTACTTCTTTCACTTTTTTCTGCTAGCAATAACTCTTACTTATCAAAACTGCACTTGACATATTTATGACCTCAACCACAGTAACCACATAAACCACTTTGGCGCATAAGTAAGATACACTCATGGTTGTGCTTGAGCGATAGTGGATGCACTTGCAGAAAAATAGCGGTATAAATGTTAGGATTAGCAGGATTCATTGTAAAATTAGTGGTTTTTATTTTATAGACTGTTGAATGCTTCTTTGGTTGACTCGCCAAAGCGAGATTGTTCTTGTCGCCTACAATACAGCCAACGGATGAAAGTCCACTTTGTTCCAATATTCTATAAAACACTTGCTATTGTGGTCGAGATTCTAGTTTAACTCAGTACTTAGGGCTTGGCTTATTGATATTCATTCGTAAAGTAGAAACTATATGTGAGAAATCTTCTATGTTGAAAAGGCGGTAAGGTAGTTTTTGCGTCGTTTAAGGACATCTGCAGAAGTTGAAAGTTCCTAACCAAAAATAAATTCAGTGTGTTCTGATTATGTAGACCAGTGTTTGTCACAGAGTCGATATTGTTATATTGAGACGCGATATAATCTTTGTAGTCAGTGTCAGACGCGCTTAAAAATCTTGAAGTGTTGCCTTTTGCCCAAAGAACTTTCTCACTGCTCTCGTTTCTTTTGTGAAATTTATTATTATTATTTATTCTTTAATCGACACTGTATTCAATCCTTATAAAAATATATTCTTGATATGTACCTTCATCGTACAATTTGGAGACTTGCTTCAGAATAGTAACGGATAGAATGTTAGTCAGTTAAAGACTATCAAAACAATTCAGTATAATAAAATACATAAGTAATCATTATGAGAATTATGCCACCAGTAAAGTTTATGAAAGTATTCCAATTTAATGACTGTATCACTTGTCGTTTGTGTTTTTCAATAATCGCAGGTGTGGATCGAAGGAACCTCATGTATTGATTAAAAGCTGTGAAGGTTTTTAAAATCTCTCGGTTCGCCGTAGCTTAAATACTAAGATAATTCAACATCGGTCTAGCAAATGGTGAAGAGATAAAGAAGGATGATAAGGGAACTACGTGACAATGGATCTTTCGGCTTTTAGGAGGACGATTTTTTTCTAAGAACTATAATATTATTTCTAATGACATGAATGCATTTGAAGTGAAGGGCGATTTTTGAATAGTTTAATGTGTGTAGGAATAAATGATATACTAAATAATTGTGAATCAATTTATCGAGTTCAGTTATTTCGAGTAAGCGCAGGAGGATATTTAGATTTCACGAATATACCCGAACAATACAGGTTATAGTATTTGACCAAAGAATACGTGCGAAAGAGAATTGAATATTCAAAAGACGGTCTGACTACAGACACCAGCAACGACGTGAGTGCGACTTTAGACCTCTTAAATCTACCACTGATCGAATTCGAATCAATATAAAGCTACCTATAAAAATAGAGAAAGCTTCTATTGTTGCTGTAGCTCTTTCCTAATCCTCGCTTGGGTGGTAAGATTTAAGTTGGGATGGTCATCGTCAGAATCTCACGATAGACCCAGGAAACGTGCAGTTTCGATGGGGTCAGGCCATCGGTAGAGGGGTGAGAGAGGAAGAGGTTTACTAGGCACGCAAAGGCGTGATTAGAGTAAAGCGGCCATTCATTGCGCGCGGGGCATATATTTGGTATTTTGGAGTCGATTCTGAGTACGTAGGGGTCTAACCTGCTACAACATCTAGCACGAAGTGGTGAAAGGGTCTTATTAGATTTTCTCGACAACTCGAAACTGTTCGCCTGTTATGGGTGGTAGTTCCGCTTCAAGCGGCTTCGGTTTCATGCAAATGACTGCAGAAATGGGTACGGATGATTACCTACCGCTCATTGAACTCGAATGAGCAGAGATTGTTCGCTGTCCTCTAGAAGTCATATGACATACTGTGTGAGAAGCGTTTTGCAAGCCCAATGCTACTAGGATCGTCATTTCACAGGTTGGTTTGATTAACTTAGGATTTAGGCCATAAATGCTTTGGCGAGCTAAGCACGTTCTGTTAACTATGATGATAGTCTGCTGGACTCAGTGGATGAGTGAACTTCGCAAAAAAGGAAAGGATAGTTATTGGGCTTGCCCTTTATTTGGCAGGTTTCAGTAGAGTAACTACTCTTTCCAAGCGTCGGGTATATGAAGCGCTTCTTTCAATAAAAATTCCGCTTTTCTTAAGGGTAAAACAAATTACCCCTCAAAAATGTTTCTCTAAGTGTCGCGCAATCGACATGATATGGATTTCAGCAGATTAAATGTGACACAGCTAGACATTCAATATAACAAAGTATCACGATAGGTTGCACTTGAGTGTCGTCTGCTCTTACGTTTACACGCTTGCAGCGTGACGCAATGCGTAAGAAGCCRACTAGCAACGGGCTACACAACAAAATGACAAACACCAAAGCGTTCACAACGAACGCAAGCATATTTTGAAGAATTACTTCGGCATAGGCACTGCAGCACTACCAGCAAGTGAGCCACATATCTTTTCGGTACCGAAAACTCTTGGGGCCGCGGTAAGCTTGGTAAGGCGAGCCCACAAGGCAATGCAGCTGTTGGCCACGGTTATGGCGTCTTGTTACAATTGCCTTGAAATGAGTGCTATGTATAGAGATTTGTTGAGGATGTGTGTCGCTTTGCGCTTTGGGTGTCGGTTGCTCGGTGCTGGAGCGCTTCGCGTGTTGTTGACGGTAATGCTGTAAAAAGATACGTGTTGAGTGGCGCGTGCGCACTGGCACTTCATACGCATGCGCAGTACATGGTATATATAAAAGGTACATATATGAACATATGGCTTCTACATATGCTCTCAATATATACATAAATATATGCGGCTACCACTTTGTTTCCCTTTAAAGCGTGCTTTGTGAAGTAGTAAATTAATTTCAGCGCGTATAATTGCATTCTTCTACACACTGCTAATTCGCTTTGATTGCAAATCTCCCATACAAGTACCGCGTCTGCGTACTGCAGCCCTCTTAAGTTAATCAAAACAATTGTGGCATAATTTCACGCCTAYCTGCCACGATATCGAACTCTGCCGCTAACCCGKCAACCGCRCGCAAYTCGTTTGCTAACTTAAGGCTAGACGCTTGATAATTGCCAAGTGTATTCTCTCCTTTTATTGCTTACCTGATCGGGTCTCAGACCGGGCGGCACCCAAGTGTACTCCTCCAGCGCGCAACCGCTGTCATCGTCCGAGTGCGAATGGCGCTGCATGTCGAGCTGCTGGTGACCGACCAGCGCGAAGGACGCATGCGCCGACGTTGGGTGGTGCAGCAGTGAGGGCGGTGAAGGTGATGAAATCGCCGGCGACAGCTGGTGTGGCGCATGTTGCTGTGGTTGCGGCATACCATGCGACTGTTGTTGTTGTTGATGTTGCTGCTGTTGATGCTTCAGCGATGAGCTGGAGTACTTGGACGATGAAGAGTGCGCCGAATGCGCCGGTGAATACTGTTGTGGTGCATGATGCGCCAGCATACCGATTGTTGAGGCAGCGGCATGCGGCGGCGCCGGCGGTGGCAGCTGGTGATGCGGTGGCAAATATTGTTGCGGATGCAACTGATGATGATGTAGYGGCGGCAATGGCGGTTGATKTTGTAGCTGYTGTTGTTGTTGTTGCTGTCCATGTTGCGGTGGTGGCGCGTGATGAAATTGACGCTGTAGTGGCAGCGGTGAGGTCGGCAAACCTGTCGCATTGGGACTATATAAAGCGCTAGCCGACGAGCTGCTAGGCAAAACGCTGCCGGCGAGCAGTGCTGATGTTGCACCTGGCGCGCCAAGGCCCAAACTGCCACTTCCGCYCGCCGCTGCGGCTGCTGCGCTGGGCGAGAAGTGGCGCGGCAGTGTTGGTATCTTTTGTAGATAGGAGACCTGTGTGAGCGGCGTGCGACTGATGGGYCTGCAAAGACAATTGAACAGAGAAACGAGTGAGAAACGTGAGTGCGGTAAATTTTAAGAAAATGTAATGGAAAAAGACTAAAACGGGAAATTAATTGAACTTGCGACGACGACAGATATTACTTGCTGCCGCGTTTCTCGGCGCGACAAAGCTTGCAACACCGCAGTAATCAATCAATTTTTACAATTTTATTTGCCGTTAACTGGCATTTCTTACTCTACTAGTATACTCTAGCCTTTGGGATGCATATTTTCTGTTGTTCTATTTTGGCGGCATTAACGCTATTCCTGCCTGCTGAGGTATGTAATCAACTGTGTGGCATGCGGCATAACAAATTGAAAGTTAATTAAATTGTAAGTGGTTCTGCCCGCGTCGTCCCGAAAGGTGAAGTTGAAAGTTGCAACAGCAATTAGGGTGCGCTACTTTCAGCTGCCTACCTTGCCTTGTAACTGTGCAATTGATGGTAGACAGCCGAAATTGGCACGCATTAGTTATGCCCAAATATTCTATAATTAATAATTGTGCAAATAAATCAGAGAAATTACGGCTTATTTATGGTGAATGATGTTTATGGGAAAGTGGTTGGGTGCAATCTCGTCTACCGTTTTCTGTGATGTGCGCTTCAATTTTAATCGAATTTACTCGAATCTAAGGTAAAGTAAGTTTGRTTAGGTTAAAAAGTCGTCAGAAGAGCTTATATCCTTTAAAATTGGTCACAAATCCAATCATAAATCAACGGAGCGCTTTGAGACGATTATAAATGTGTGGTCTCCTGGTTCGCCTATGATGTGTATGTCGAGATGTTTCAAAAGCTGGAAAATAGAGAAGAAAATGCAGGCACTTTCACCTCACCTTCTTTCCTGCAACCAAAGAATTTATCGAAGAGCGCATGACAAGAGTACAATCGATATCATACTTCTAGTACAGCAATAATGTGATGAAGGTGCTCTTTTTTCTTGAAGCGCTTTACGTTATCTTTGTYTGCTGGCTCCTTGGCAGCAATATAAGACTTTACTACCTCCTTGACATTTTTATTCCACGAATGTCTCTTGCCCACAATAAAATCAAGACTTTCAGACAGCTGAAAGTGAGAACCTTCATTGAGGCAAAATAAAATTATGAAATTTCGTTGTGAATAAATGGTCTTAGTCTGTTCAGCAACATCTCTTAATAATGGCAAGCCTTTTCTTATATATGCTGTAGTCATCAATACTCGCACTAAAGGATACTCCTTTAAGTTACTACGTGGATACTATCTAGGACATTTTCGCTTTACCACGAGCGGTCCCAAGGCAAATACGTTGCCTAAATTTACTACTATCAACTAACTTAGGGATGCGGGAATACCACCTTGCAAGTGATCCCTGTTTACCTTACATTGTGCACAATGCTCTCTAATAACTAAATCATAACATTTTATAAGCACTTTTGGTTTTAGAAAAATCCATTTTTGTATGCAATTATTGGAAAATAAATGAACTTCAGTCTGTTAGCTGCAACCTAATACAATTTGTAGCTTTGTGAATGACTAAACACGTTGTGTTGCTGCCTTCCTTGTTTTGTGTTGTTGCAAAACATTGTTAACAACTTACGCAAAAAGCTCACAATCAACCAACGAGCGCTTAGGAATTTTTTAGTGAAATGTGAAAAAACGCAGCAAATTGAATTTTCCATGTGTGAAAATAAAATATGAAATTTTCGCGCTTTGAAAAAATGTTCCTTAAAAAATTCAAAAGCAATACAAGTTGGAGTACTCTAAAAAAAATATATAAATAAAAATAAAAAATTTAAAAAAAATAAAAGAATAAAAAAGTGAGCACAACAAGCTTCGACTACACTTCCCGCATATTTACACATTTCTCTTTATTCTTTTTGATCTTGTGCTGTGCTTTGTTGCGTACTTTTGACAGCTGTCAATGCATGTTGGCGGATATTTTAGCGGGCTCATGACGCGTGTCTGCGTGGCGCGGCACTGCCACATGCATGCAACGGCGCGTAAATGCAATATTTTTGTTTTGTTATCACAAAGCCTGGCAAATTCGACACAGTCAGGGCGCGCAGCCAGTCAGACGACGCAGTTCACGTGTGTGCCTACATGGGTTTTCCAGCCCATGTGGCATGTATTTTGTTGTTTTTGGCGCAAATATTTTCGTTGGTGTCAATATTTGTTTCTTTGTTATTGTTGGCATGCATATGATACATTTACTTTTTAGTGTAGTGTTGGAGGTTTTGCCAGAGTAGTATAGCGGAAGGAGCAGCTGGTGTGTTGCACAGACAATTTGTATTCGGTAAAAAATAATCAAATCGAATACCCTGTAGGGAAAAAGAGAGTGTAGGTGCAATAATTAAATCGAAAGTAATTTACTTATTATCTCCAAGGCGATGTTAACGGGTTGCGTTGAAACGATATTTACATAGTCAGTGCAATTAAAGCTCGCTCAGTTGGTGTAAAAGTTGACTCTTCTTCTGTGCTGACTATTTTCTTTCTTTCATGAGAAAGCTATTAGCGTGTCGGCTGTACCGTTTACTTATTACGAACAAGTGCAACTGTAATATCACAGCATAATAGCGTTTCACGCTGTTCAGAAGCAAACTGAGGAAATTTCTGCTTAACTTCATGACGGTCGACGAAACATGAATCCACAGGTACACAACAGAGATCCAGGAACAGTTGAACCGTTACCACAACAGTCAGGTCTACGTACGTAATGAATGGATCCAATTTTTTTATCGAGGTCAAGGACTTTRAACTCAACAGAATCCTGCTGCCACAACAATAACAAGAACACCAGAAACAGTCGAAACTGTGGACTTCTCCCGAATAACCCCCTCGTAAGAACGCAAGACCGCCTTTATTCTAGAGTGGGTTTGCCATCGTTTTCGGAATTTACAAAATCTGATCCACATTTACAATCGGATGAAAGGCCAAATGCCTACAATGTCGAAATTTGGTTTTTACCGGGGGTAGAAAAATGTGCTCCTTCTCAAAGCATTGTACGAGCTTACGACTCGGACGTTGCCACGGCCAAATAGATGGATTTCTCATTGTTTTCGAACTGGAAACTGTCACGCGATGGCTAAAAAGTTGAGCCGACAGAGAAGTTATCGCAGACATTGTGACAAAAATTCACCCGGAAATTGGAAATAAAWTACAAAACAATTAATTATTCATCATTATTTATTTTGTYGCCTTCAGAATAATCTCCCCTCCCAGATATAATACACTTTTGCCAACAACTTTTTCAGTCCTTGAAACACTTTTTATAAGCATTTTTTGGGATGGARTTCAGCTYCTTCAGCGAATTTTTGTTTTATCTCTTTTATCGACTGATAACGGGTTCCAAGGAGCGGCAATCTCAATTTGAAGAAAAAGAAAAAATCACACGGACAAATCTGGTGCATACGGTGTTTGGTCCATGGTAATCATTGTGGCTTTAAATTTGGGCACAATTTGAAAAAAATCTACTTTTTTCTGGACGAGTCGAGCAAGAAGGGTTTTATACTAAAAATATCCACCAAAATCATTCGAACGGACCCAGGGAATAGCTCTTTTATATTTTACATATACTCCTACAAAAAAAAAAAAAAAAACAAAAAAAAGCATTCCAAAATGCTACCACCCACTTTTCATAGAGCATCAAAGCTTGGTACTTTGTGGGCCACCCGCTTTCAAATAGCATTTCCATTGAAGTTGAAATATTGAATTCTGGGCGTTTTGAAATTGTGCAAAAAAAAATTGCACAAAMCAATTTTGTTTGTACTCACTTTGACAGTTTGATGTGTCAATTTCGCTGTAGGCGTTGCGTTAGTGCACAGCGTTTGTGGTTATTTCAACGTTTTCTGTTTTGTTTTGTTTTGTTTTCGATTTTAGGGTTTGTTATCTGCGCCATTGCAGTTTCTACGTTTTTTGTTTTTGTTTCTAGTTGTTTTTGTGTTCTGCGGTTGTCTTTCAATTAATTGCGAATATTTTTATGCTTTCGTTTGACGTTTTGGCTGTTATTGCAAAGCGTTGTTTTGTTGCTTGTTTTGCATATTGTGTCAAAGGAATTAGTTTTTAATTGGTTAAGCACAAGTGGTGCATACTTTTTTAATTAATAAACTATGCACTTATGCCATCTATGTTGTTAGCCACGCTAATTGAATTTGCGTGTTATTAAAAAACATTTGAAGGCAATATTTTAAAAACTTTAGTCAGGGACTAGAAACTTGTGCAGTGTTGTTTAGTGAACAATACATTTTTTGAAATTGGAACACTTTTTGATTTATTTCAAATAATTTAATTATTTAACTAAACCAAATTGCCTTTCACAATTTACAAGAACTATCTTGAATAACGTAAAACTGAATGACGTGACTTTGACAGCTCGYGTTCATGTTTGTTTACGGCTTTGTGCTGAAATTTGTCATTGTGATCCGTAAGGTTTGTCGTTTCATCCTGCCTCGTTTAACCTTTGGAATTTGTCCAAGGTCATTACGCAAATTCAGGTTCTTCGAAAAAYCTGTAAATCCAAAAAAAYATATTTTCAGATGAGGCTCATTTCTTGCCTAATGRCTTTGTCAGCACACAAAATTGCCACCACTGGTGAAAATATGTTTTTTTGGATTTACAGATTTTTCGAAGAACCTGAAGTTGCGTAATGACCTTGGACAATTTMCAAAGGTTAAACGAGGCAGCATATATACATATATTTGAAAAAGCTTGAGGTGACGTTCAGTATTTATGATAAAAATATTATATAGAAATCATTTTGAYCAAATTTTATTGTTTTATTTCATTTTATAACTCCGTCGTCCTTGTTGGCATTCCTTATAGCCAATTATTTTAATYCGGTATTCTTTTCTAGAAATTTTAAACAAATTCCAAACTATCTCCTTAAATGATATTTGGGAACTAAAATTATTTTCAAAGTTAAAACTGTTTTAGGGGCGCGGCTTCAAAATTGACTATATCTCAAGTTGTGATTGGTCAATTTAATTTAAGTATGGTGAATTATCGTAC